AGGAATGCCTTGAGGAGATTTCTTCCAATTTGGCACAAGGGCCCATTTGGATTCAAGTATGAACTGATTACAATTTGGTGGTCAAAGGTCACGGTGACCTCACGTCTGTCCTGTTCCCATGAATTTGACTGGTGGGCGGAGGCATACAAACATGAAGCGGTAATTCTGTTTTTTTTATGTGCGTGTTTCTGTCTCACCAAGTCAGAGACAAAAACACCACACAAGACAGACCTCTTCTACTTCTGCAGCTTGTAATCTCATCACAGAGATGGAGGGAGGAGGGCGGGGATGCCTCATCAGATGCCTGATCCACCTCAACTGGCAGTGCAGGGGATCAGCTGCTCTGATGTCCTCTGCATGTCTCAACTCCCTGCCCCTCAGTGTGGCTGCTATGAAGGAGCAGCAGATGTAGGAAACAGACAATCCCACAATGCCACATTCCTATTCTGAGGCCCGAGATGAACAGCCCTGGAATAGGACCGAGTAAGAGAGAAGGAAAAGAGTAAGAAGAATATTTGGCAGCTGAGAAACTATATGTTGAGACTTGTGCCGTGGTCTTGTCTTCCTTTTCTGAAACATTGATGTTTTGTCTCTTACATATACAGTAAAGGGTCAGTTAATGGTACAGTAACACCTCCGGGGAGTGGAGGAAAGGAGGACAAGGAGATGAGAGAAGGCGAGCTAAAATAGGAAAGCTCATCGAGAATTCCTCATGAAGTGCCTCCCACTGAGGTTGGGTGGAGCTGGCCTCCATTGGCTTCATGTTCATACGCGCTAACATCAACGGAGGACTGCTGTCTGACCCTACGCTGAGTCTCTCTCTGGGGAGAAGGGTGGGAGGGTGGAAGGAGGAGAGACACAACTGACCAGGGAAGGATGATGGGTGGCTGACTTCTAGCCAAGACTTCTCTCTGCTCATTGGTGTTTTTGTATTGTGTGTTGTGTGTTTGGAGATGTTATCATTGCTTGTGTCTGTATGTACGAGTGTTGTGCTGATGCCCGACTCTCTGATCACTACCCAAATACACAGACATACACAACCATCAACTTCAAGCTTCACACACGTATAACAGAGACGGCTATTGCATTGATTTGATGAGAAAAGCAGCAGAAGAGCCGGATGTCCCCTAGAGAGCAGCCTGACTAGAACTGGTGAGCCTCCTATTGGCCCCAATTTCCTGAAAATGAGTCTGGTGTGGCTGTGATGAGCTAATGCCAAAAACATCAGGGAAAGAAAGGATGTGAACACAAACACTGCCAGTGAAGTCACTTATTTCTACTCTGGTACATGTTAACTGTCTGCCAGTGATAAGAACTATCAGGTGCTGAATGTTGTATAATAAAATCTGTTTCCTTCTTTAAGCAAATACGCAGTGCTGAGGTGGAAGGGGTAGAGACAGGGTGTAACCATGTGGCACTGGTGCTGACACTCAGCAATGGATGAATGAAAAGCAAAGATTTGGCTTCAGCACAAAATCTGACTGAATTAAAGTCTCCTTCCAGTGACATCATAAAACAGACAAAGATGCAACAGGAGCAGTGGGGTTAACCGCAAGTGAGATACACTTCGTAAACTAGAATTAAAACATTAATTCTCACTCTGCAATGAAAGCTCATTTTTACTAAGAGCTAAAGTTTGTGAATCTACCCAGGAGCTACAGTGCTTAGTAATAATCTGTCTACTGATCAAATACCTGGTCTTACAGGAAAAGTCCTCCCTTTTAAAACCAGGGGCCAGATGCATAAAACTGTGGATTCATGACTAAAACTGTGGACGCACTAAAACGGGAGTGAGTGTAGGTGACACGTTTGTGAGACACCTGGTTCTTTCTTATAAACCTCAATCTTTGTAGAATTGA